ATGGAGCGCACCGCAGCATTGTAAACTCGACCCTTGACGGAGAAGCTGATGTCACGCCTACGTCACAGGTGACGTAGGTTCGCAAAAGCTGCTGTGGCCTTCCCAATCCGGATGGAAATATCATCTTTCATGGGACCACCGGGACTGATACAGCCACCCAGGTGAACAAATTTGTCTACTACCTCGTGGAAGCATTTCGACATCAAAAGCATTAGAGGCTTGAAGTTCCTCTCCCAAGGTCATAACTCTTAAGTTTAGGACAAAAGGCCTTGCTTGACACTGCTGGATTTACTGAACTCAGGCGAGTTTAATTCAGGTGTTCAGCTCCAAAACCACGTACCGGTGCTACATTTCCGCTCAGATGAGAATAAGCAAATGAGCCGTGTAATAAAGGAGACCCCCCAATTGATCTACTTGCTTGGTATGAAAGGCAGTGACAGCAACGCAGGGACAATGATAGCTTTAAGTCCACCACTTGCCGCATGACAACCAGGTCTGTCAGGTTCCCCAGCTATTGGTTCGCTTCTGCCCACTGTCGCCAACAGGGGAGGCGTCAGTCACCAACGCGACTAGCATAGGCTTCATCCTTTGTTACCAATTCATGGACTGACCGCCACGGAGTCTCCGTCCAATACAAAGCTGAGCGAAGAAGGTTCTGATATACAAACTACACGGCCTAAGGGACGTGGTTTATTGAGTGTGGTCAAAGTAAGCATCAATGGAGGCGAACTGCAGCTTTACCGACCTGTTGTTCGAACCAGCCTTGGACCTCCCGACAGCCAAATCAGGTCTCGGCAGCCCAGACCCTGCCACAGTACACTACTTGACAATCAAGTCGATGTTACGTCAGCGTCTCCAGTGTCGGAGATCGGCAAACACCCAGAGAGTGATTTCACTTCCAGTGACTGCTGTGCAACTATCCAGATGGGCTGGCTCACTCAGCACATCGAGCGCTCGCGCTGAAGGTTTATGCTGACCAGGAATAAGCATCATCCTCATCATCGATAGCATGACATCAGTGTTCAACACCGACGTTTCACTCCCGTACACACAACTGAGAAACTCGTCCTCCATTACCTATGCCGCTAGCGCCAACTTCGAATCGGTAATCGAGGTCAACCTAAGCATTCATGACACTTGCGATTCCCGCCGACCAGTGACTACGACTAATCTCTGCAGCTGCCTTCCTAAGCCTAAGAGCGTATGCTTATACAAGCACGCCGGCGCATCGACTTTGGGTAAATCAACCTCAGAGACGACCGTTACCTGGAGTCTAATCTAGCAGGGCAGATTCGGTCCTGGAGCCGCTGGCACGAATCATTGTAGTACTTCAACCATATAGAACGGTGCGCTGCAGTATGTCGGTAAGGCCGATCAATCCGAACATGCTGGCCGCACCTTACAATCACGTTTGCACTAACCGGATTGCCTCCTACCCTTGGTCGCAGGACTCAGATCAACAAGCATTCACCCGTGGTAAGTTACCGGTGCAATTAGTAAATAAAACAGACTGGAACAGGTTTATTGAGCATTGTTAATAAAACACTGACATAAGGATAGTTCGTGGGTTGCATATGCAGACTCCACGACTCTGTTAGGAGTGAAACAAAGTTAGTGAGCTGGGACTTGAAAGGTCACAACCGAAATATTCATGCAACAACCGGCTGTCAGAAGACCGAACGTCAGGTTGTTAGTAGCTCCACCCAATCGCGCAACCACTCATAAAGCGACGGAGACAATGCAAGAAACGAACCACCCTGAAGTCAGATTTCCTGAGGGGAGTACGATGCCGAGGAATCGGAAGGTTAGATACATCACGGATTTACTGAATCCAGATGTTTCTGTAAACCAAAAAGTCAACGTATTAGAACGATGAATACTCAGAAAAATTCTAATATCACTGATCAACAGCAGAACTGAATAGCATCACTAAACCGAAACAGCCCCCTACCTCGACTAGTCGCATCACACTTCCAAGTCCAACAGCAGAAAACCAGTTTGGCCGGGCACTGATCGCACTGTAAACAGATCGAATTAAGGAAAATTAGGTGTGGCGAGAAAGCAGTCAGAAATACTAGCTTATCAATAAGATCAATTGAACTATGCAAACATCATGAACCGTGACTTACACATCCAAGTCTGGAAAGGAATAACCGACGGAAGTGTTAGTACGGAAAATCACTCAGATAGGGGCGTTTAATGGCAAGAAAGCCGAATACTCATACATCATGTGAAACAAACTCACGGGGTCTGGTAAGCCCTAGTGAGTCATTGCTCCTGATTCCATGTGACTGGCATATGTTCCTGTTGTGCCTCCAGCAGTGTAGAGAGAATCCACTCCGCCTGAAAACCAAAACGACAGTGAGACCGCGCAGTGCTACTACCACCGATAAACAGCAGAACTGGATATATCGAGTTATAATATTACTAAATCGAAATTACCACCTACCTCGACTAGTCGAATCACATATCCAAGCCTGACAACTGAAGACTAGAGTTTGGTCAGGCACTGATCGCTGTAACTGAACGGAAAAAGCAGCGTATTTAGCCACCAATTTCAGACCAAAGATCCTCTCATTTATAAACGTCAATGTAGGTAAGGAACATCACTTAAAGAGCTATTACCTTCAGAAAAACCCCATCGTTGGTACGTTTTCAGGTTCTGAAATAAAGGACGTCGCAGAGGTTAGAATGCTCAGAGTGGAATTGATCTCACTTGTCGACCAAGAGGTGTACATAACATCACAACCAAGACGAAACTGTACTCACCGGCGAGCGAACGATAAACCGTGCGCTGTAAACAGATCGAATTGAGGAAAATTAGGTGTGGCGAGAAAGCAGTCAGAAATGCTAGCTTATCAATAAGATCAATTGAACTATGCAAACATCATGAACCGTGACTTACACATCCAAGTCTGGAAAGGAATAACCGACGGAAGTGTTAGTACGGAAAACCACTCAGATAGGGGCGTTTAAAGGCAAGAAAGCCGAATGCTCACACATCATAACGCGGAACCAACTTACACTGTACCATCGCCAACGTCAAGGGCTGCGCGAACGCACAGTGCACACACACGCGACACCCGACATGGGAAACCGACTGTGTCACGGTCTGGCGTGTACCACGCGCCCTACAATGACAAGGCTGAACGCACTCAAACGAAAGCAGTCGGCCCCGACCCAAAGATCAGAAGAGGGAAAGAAGTATTAGCAGTTTGGATACCCAGCCGTTCCACTTTCAATCGTGGAAACTCAACTCAGTCTACAAAAACTTCATGGGGTCTCAGCGGGCTATACGAACTCCTTAATCACGGCCCTCCTGCATTTGCTGACAGTAAGCCGAAAAGTATTCCCCGTCACTACGGTGCTTTGTAGGTTTGACCATTTCACAGGGGTAGTGTAGGCCTACTGCACAAGTAGGTGATATGCCGCTCATAGGTGCTTATTTAGGTTAGCGGACCATCAAACACCAATTCGTTTGTACCAGCAAGTTCACAAGACAAAACTTTAATACAGATCGTTCTTTGGTGTACGCCGTCACCTAGGTTTCGGGCTGTCGTCTTCATACGCCTGGGGTTGGCTGTCCCAGTCAATGATCGTAGGGAGACGTATAATCTGTACTCACAAAATTAAGTGCTCCGTCTCCAGCGAATTCACATTGCCGACCAACCGTTCAAGATCCCTGTGCACACCCTCTACGGCTGACGACTCCGCCTTGGGAACAAGAGGCAGGGAAGCACCTTATTCTGTTTTATTCTCCTGTTGTAGTGCACTGTAGTCTTCGACCGACCACCATGGACGTTGCAACTCTGTTGTAGGCAGCGCGAATTCGAAAATGTGACGCACGGTAGGGAACCAGTGACCTCTGAATATCGCAAACGAATGTACGTGGGTCTACCACGTCGACAACAGGGGGTGAATGTCCAGTTTCCCGCCGATGTCTCAGCCGTTGAGCGATAGCTGGGGTTTCGCAATAAAAGCTGACCTCATTTAACGTCGTGTTTCTCGGCCGCTGGCTATTCGCACAATGAGATTGAGCTCTCGAAATCTACGGCATTTTCAGACTTGCCACTTCGTAGAGCAGAATGTCTATTTATAATGTATATGCTCCTGTATTATTGAAAATCATATACCATTGCGATTTGTTTAAGTGAACTAAATCTCCAGGTG